GAGGTTGTTCATCTCTTCTTGATGAGGTCGTTTTACATCGAGGAGCTCCCCTATTAGGTCTTCTCGCATCTTTGTCAGTTGGTCTTTCATGGATTTCTCTAGTTGGAGTATTATACCTCTGATTGTGGAATGGATAGTGATGTCCTCCTTTGTCAAGACCATCCACCTTTTAGCTTAGATCCTCTATCTGGGCCTCCATGTCATTCATAGCCTCCTCTACCCGAGTGAGGGGCAAATCATATGAGCTCTTTAAAGCTCCCATGTAGTTTGGATGCAGCAGAATCCCGTTGCTCCTCACGACCCCGTCCTTGTTGAGATGTCTCCACATTTGTGGCCCTCTATCTGGGCCTCCATGACATGCTCTTTGAGGCTCTTTTTCATGTCTTTAACCTTATCTCTGATGCTAACTGTCACAGATAAACTACTATAAACTTTAACACTCTTACTAAACACTAAATTAGTCTAACACTTGCAACGCTTGGACTGAGAAACATGAAACTCTCTAGGAAAAAAGTAAGGACAAGTTATTGAAGAAATGAACAATTCACTAAGTAATGAAGGATGACATACTTGGTTGCTTAAAAACCTTGGATGGATCCAAATAAGGGGGAGGGACTTCTATTTATAATCCTCCTCAAGTCCTAGGGAACTATCTAGGTCACATTAGATTAGACTAACTTTTAGATAGTTCTACATTTGCCCTTTACGTGATTCTAGAGTTTTTCGGAATATTTTAGAGTTCTCTTGAAGCTTGCCTCTTTCAGAATATTTCTGAAATTATGTGGGACCTTCTGAAACACCTTAGATTATTCTCCTTTTTTATAGTTTTCTCTAGAATCTTCTTTTTTTCCATGGCTAAAATGATGTGGCCCATCCTTGCTTGAGCGATGGTGCATGACACAACGCTACAGAACTTCTAGGATGTGATGACTAATAATCTTCCAGAGGGATTACTACCATTAAAGGACATTCAACAAGCCATGAATCTCATACCAGGATCAGTGTTGCGGAATTGACTCACCTATAGATTAAAACCTACGCAGTACAAGGAGTTACAACGACAAGTACATGATCTTGTCACATGGGGACTAATCTGAGAGAGCACCAGTCCGTGTGTCATTCCTGCCTTGATGGTGCCCAAAAAAGGCGTGTCATGGCTAATGCACATCGATAACAGAGTCATTAACAAAATCACCATAAAGTACCAGTTTCCCATACCTCACTTGAACGATCTCTTGGACCAGTTACACGGAGCCAACATTTTTTCCAAAATTGACTTACGCAGTAGGTACCACCAGATATGGATGACGCTAGGGGATGAGTGGAAAACTGCTTTCAAGATGAGAGATGGTCTATACAAGTGGACAATTATGTCATTCGACTTGTCAAACACTCCCAACACTCTTATGAATATAATGAATAAAGTATTTTGGGTTTACATTGAGAAGTTTGTGGTGGTCTACTTTGATGATATTCTAGTACACAGCTGCTTCGAGGAGGATCACTTACTGTGACTAGAAAAACTATATGCTCATCCCAAGAAGTGTTACTTCATGATGGACCATGTATGTTTTTTTGGGTTATATTTTGTAGTGTAGACATTTAGATGGACCCCACAAAGACTGAGACTATTATAAGTTGGGTCGCACCACAAGCGTTCACCGAGATGAGATAGTTTTTGGGTTTAGCATCGTTTTACAGATGGTTCATCAGGAACTTCAACACTATCACTGCACTTTTGACAGTCCTTTTGAAAGGGAGAGAGTTCACTTGAACAGTTGCCGCTTAGACCAACTTCGACACACTAAAGGAGAAGGTGATGCAAGCACCGGTTGTAGCATTATCAAATTTTAACCAATTATTCGAGGTAAAGTGTGATGCATCTGGCGTGGGGATAGGGGCTGTGTTGAGCCAGAGGGTCACCCCATCACCTTTTTCAGTGAAAAGCTGAATGATTCTATAAGAAAGTACTCAACACACGACAAAGAGTTTTTTGTCATTGTTAGTGCTCTGGAGCACTAGAGTCATTACCTACTAACAATCAAGTTCACACTATTTACAGATCATACAATTTTGAAATTCCTCGATAGCCATAGCAAACTAAAGGGCCAACACGCCATTTGGATGAAGTTTCTAGCATCATTCTAGTTCGTATGATCTGTAAATAAGGATTGGCAAGACATTTTGGCAAAGACAATACTAGCCCTTGTGAGAGCATTTCTTTTGGTCCCGAGTGATGAGAGATATGAAGCGACACGTCAGACAGTGCAGGATTTGTCATATGGCAAAGATAATAGAGCAAAATTTCGGGTTGTAGACACCATTACAAGTACCAAAGGCACCATGGGTGTATGTTGGCATGAACTTCTTGGTGGGTCTTCTGAGGACGTAGAGGAAGAAGGACTCCGTGATGGTTGTGGGGGACCTATTCTCAAAGATGACATATTTTGTACCGTCATCAGACACTAGACACGTCTCATGTCATTGATTTATATTTCAGAGAGATCATAAAATTGCATGGGATTCCCAGGGTCATCACCTTCAACAAAGACGTCAAATTTTTTAGCCACTTTTTGAGGACTTTGTGGGGGAATCTAGGCACCAAGCTTCAATTCAGTTCATCAGCTCATCCACAGATGGAAGTGCAGATAGAGGTAGTAAATAGGAGCTTAGGAAACCTTCTAAGCTGCTTCGTGGATAAGAATATTAAGCAGTGGGACCTAATTCTAGCTCAAGTCGAGTTCACCTATAATCGATCCATGAGTTAGACTACAGGATGTGCTGTGTTCGAGATTATGTATGGGCTCAACCCGCTCACGCCACTTGAGTTGATACCGCTCCTGTCGACATCAGAAGTCAGTGAGAATGATGAAAAAGGGGTTAACGAGATTTGAAAATTCCACGTGGAGGTTGGAAGCGAAATTACTAAGCAGAACTGAAAATATCAGGCGCAGGCGAATAAATCCAGAAAGAAGGTGACGTTCCAAGAAGGACACCTTGTGTGGATTCGATTGAAAGAGCAATTTACAAGGGGAGTTTTTGGGAAACTCAAGCTCGGAGCGGATGAACCTTTCAGAATACTTCGGAACCTGAATGACAACGCCTATAAGATCAACCTGCCAGGAGACTATTATGCTTCTGCTACGTTCAATGTCGCGGACATGACACCCACTGCACTGCCAACATTCGAGGATATTTTTCTTAGGCCATAGCCGTATCTTGCTGGTTTTTTTTTTTTTTTTTTTTTTTTTTTTTTTGCATTGTCTTGTTTTCAATGTTGTTAGAGTTTGATTATATCTCTGGTTGTCTGCTAATATTTGCTTCTGTTATCGTGCATTGAGCTAACTCTGGTATCATGGCTTTATGTCACTAGAGAGAAGGCTTTGGAGTCTAAATTGAAGGTAGATCGAGGTCCTGGGTTGGTGGTGACGTGAGAATGGGGGTTTGCGAGTGTGAGTGGGAGATCAAAACAGAGGAAGATTTGTAGAAATGGGGTTTTGGAGTGAGGACTTTGAAGGTGCCTAAAATCATGGAGGCCAATGTTGCCTGTGAGTGGAATTAATGCTTATGATTTGAAAATGGGGCTTTGGAGTGAGGACTTTGAAGGTGCCTAAAATCATGGTGGCCAAAGTTGCCTGTGAGTGGAATTAATGCGTATGATGTGACTCTGGAATGAGGCGCAACGGGTTAACATGGTGCAGCCATGGGCTTTCTGAAGGTGTATTGTGGATGTTGTTTGCATGTGTTGCGGCTTGGAGTTTATGATTTGAGGGATGAGAGAGGAAGGAAAGCAAAGGCGAGCAATAATTTCGGCTGCTAAATGGTTTACTTCATTGGATTAATCTGAATTTGACCCATTAAGTTTTTTTTTTATTGTCTCTAAACAACATACTCAATTTAATGGATACAATTACCTGGTTTAATTGAGTTTAAACAATATTAATCTAGATGGTCTAATTATGTTAATTAGGCTTTTGACTAATAAAGTTAACGTAGGTTTTATTTAATGGAAGTAATGACTTAATTAACCCAAGGGTTAGTTCATCGGGACTAATTAAACTCAGTTTAATGGTAAACAGCGATTTTTTATATTTCTAGTTACTGGATCATAAACTTTTAGCCTTGCCAGCAGGTTTTTCTTAGTTATATTGGAGGAAAGGTTTGTAGTTTTTCTTCCATTTAGGGGATTCAGTGTGTCCAAATTTTCTTTAACATTTCTATATTATCGATCTCTTTGTTTTTGTCCAACTTTTTTGGCTTCCATAATGTTTTTGTCTAGATTTAGTTTTAACTGTTTGCTAATCTAATCGAAATCTACTTACGATTTATGTTGAAGAACATTATATGAAGTTTAACCATAAGATATTTTGTTTGAATGGAATATTTAAAATTTGGACGACCTCTTGTCACATAGATATAGAAGAAGGGTTTTGTGGTTGTCACATTTTGTAATTTCTGTAGGTTTTACATCTGTTGAAATAAGATATCTCTTATGAAGCGAGTTTATAAGAATTATTTTTAATTGCCTAAATGGGGTCATGTAATTGCATTAAATTTGGACTGGATTGATAAGTAATCTTTTGTCCTGATTCATGATGACTTGATCTTTGTGGACTGATGTCTTTTTAGTCGAACTTTATTGTCATTTAGCCTTCATTTGGTAATTTGGGTTTTTTCATTACTTCTCAAAATCCTGTCATAGCTTCCCGACCTTGGGAAACACTTGAACAAAAGCCCGTCCGTCTTGGGGGACTAGCAATGTATAACACTGCTCAAAATCCCCATGGAAAGCCTTGGTTATTCCATCAAGTTTTCTGTTGACAAGCATTATCTCAGAATCACTGCTAGCCTGCACAACGGGCTAAACAGTTCTTAGACAGCATTTGGCACTTTCACTGTTGTTTAAGAAATATCTTACATTTTCTGCAGATATATTCGTCAGTTTAAAGTAATTTATAATTTGATAAAATTTAGTGTTTTTAATCCTTGCGAACATTCAGGGCAGCACCCCAAGAATTGTGAGGCTGGGTAACAATGCCGGATGCCCTTGTGGAGGAACTCACGTTGCTGATATTTCAGACATTAAAAACTTTAAGGTATTTTTGACTTGACATGTTCTATTTTAAAGACGCATTGCAACTTAAACACGTCAATTTTTTTTTTAATTTTGTCGAGATAATGAACTTTGTTGATGATTGAAGTAGGGCGTTGCGGCTATATGTGCAAAGGGAGGAATCACCTTCCTGTCAATAAATAGGTGAACATGAGGTTCAAGTAAAATTTGTGCATGTCTGCATTTAATCTCTTTCCGGGGCTATATGCATATGCTTTTGTAAGTTCAAATAACAGTGACAAATACGCATTGGCAAAATTCCAGTCAGTAAATTTTATTGCGTTGCCAATTTTCTAATGTAAACTCGTCACCACATCCGTAAAGCAGAGTTAACCAAGTACAACTCAAACCAAACAAAACTGTCGTTGAAAAAGGTTGGTACAATAGAGAAATGGACTCTGGTGAAGATCACGGTTGTGCAGCTATTTCTTTGAAGTGTTATCGATTGATTGCTTTGTTTATAAGGTTAGAGACATAAGTTAACAAATTCATTAAATTTTCACTTTAATTTATTGAGTTTTTTATTTTTGTTTTCATGGACTCATAGTTGTTGGGGAGTTTTCCCCTTGCCTATGTTAAGTGCACATGATGCCGGAGTTAACCCAAGTCACGATAGGAAAAACAAATTTAATTACTAAAAATAAATAGACGTTTACAACCAAACACACTTGGAAGGGAAATTACAACAAAACAAGACAAACTCATGCTAGGGCTCGATCTGGGGGTAGTGGAGTTTGAATAGGTGGTCGGGAGGTGGTGGTAGGAGGCTGAATAGGTGGTCGGGAGGTGGTGGTAGGAGGTTGAAATTGGCTGTGGGTTGTTGGAAAGAAAGGATGTTAGGGGGGCTTGGCGGTCCGGGACAACAGGTTGGAATGCTTGGCGACAAAGGACAACAGGTGAGGGAAGGTGGGAGGCAAAGGGACAATAGGATGCTAGAAACCCTAGAATAAGACAAGGGCTCGATCCGGTAGTGGCGGTGGTCGGCTAGGTGGTCGGGGAGTGGTGTTAGGAGATAGACAACAAAATGATGGCTGGAATTGCATTGGCGATGAAGTGGAGGGCCTGGAATGGTAGCGATAGGGGAAGGGTTGTGAACTGTAGGTCAGGAAGAAGAGGGATACGAGAGTTAACACAAAATTGTAATGGAAACACAAATATTATTGTCAAAAACTCAGAGGGATTACAACAAAGATGCTTAAAATAAGAACAAAACGACAACAAACACCAATGACCTCTAGGGTGAGGGCGTGAAAGGTGGTGTGTTGAAGCTGGACAACGGGTAGGTGTGTTGGTTGGGGTGTGACAACCAATAATAGAAGGCCGGAGGGGTTGCAAAAACGATGAGAAAGTTAGAGGGGAGGGGTGACAACAGACAGAAGGCTGGTGGCAGCAAGCAAGAATGGTTATAGGCTATGTAGCACTAATACTTTTAAAAATGTGTTCTACCCGTGTCAGACTCGTATCAGACACTGACACTTCTCCGACACTATAAAATATGTCTATATTTCTTTCAGGTCTAAACATGTCCGGGACACACCTCAACACTGCATCGGACTTTAACTTAACATAATTTCGAAAAAATGAGACACGAGAATTAGAAAATTATAAATATACTTATAAGATTATATCTCATAGTTGAAGCCACCCCATCTCTCATTATGTTGAAGCCCCCTTTAGCATTCGTTGAAATCGAGCATCGAAGGTACATCCAATATTCGTCGAAGCCGAGCATTAGCCGAGCATTAGTAATTCCGTCGAAGCCGAGCATTAGTAATTCCCTCTTTGTAATCATAGGATTTTTTAAATTTTAGTAGATAAGTTGGGCTTTTGAAACATTATATATAATTTTAAAAATTAATTTTTAAAAGCATGAGGTTTTATAATATAAATTAAATTTATGAAGTTATATTTTATTCTTTCATAGTTTGTGTTGTGATATTTTTAATAAAGAATAATAGAAAAAATATATATTTTATATTAATTAATTATAAAAACCTGTCCATGATGTGTCATGTTTTATCAATTATAAAAACGTGTCCCTATGTCCGTGTTCGTGCTTCGTAGGTTATGGGATTGCAGCAACAAACAATAGGGAACAGGAGGGGTCGCGACAACAACATGGAGGAGGCTGGACTGGAGTTGCAACAACAAGCAAGAAGGCTGGAGGGGTTGGGGGCCACGACAGCTAGCAGGATGTGGGAGCGTAAAGAGATAAGTGAAGTTAATCACCAACTTGGAGCAAGATAAACTATAACCCTAGAAAGGGAATAGACGCCGACGACAGGTAAATTCTGATGCAAAGCTAAAACCTAATGATAAAATAGCATGCATATATATAATAGATAATTAGGAGGGGGAGGCCCCTCCCCTTAGGCGGCAACCCTAGCCTCGAAACAAGAGTGATTTTGCCCTACTATCCCATGTTTGAACCGGTTCAACTATTATGCATCTGGTTCAACCCTCCATGGAACTATACGTCACTCTCTCATGGTTGGTGGAGCTTTAATTTAAGTCGTCAAAGATTTTGGTTCTTCGTAACACAAAATCAAATTTGCCACATTGAAAGTAGAAGAATTATTGTACTCCCTCGGCAGGTCGATCTCTTAGACGCTGTCATCCAGCTTTTTGAGGATTCTAAAACGTCCACCCGCTCTAGATTTGAGTTTCCCAAACACTCCTAGAAACTTCAGTCCCTTTCTAAAAAGTCACCTTTTTTTCTAGTGTTGTTTGTTGTACTTGGTACTTACGGTTCTACTTAATGTTCTATTCTCCCACTTCCTCGTATAACTTCTGAATCTCTCGTCAACATCCTCACTAATATCTAATGTCGGAAGGAGCAGTATCAAGCATGTGGAGTGAGAGAGTTGTGCCCGTACATAATCTCAAATGGGGTGGCATCCCGCGATTTGACTTTTGAGAATCTGTTCACTACAACCATCAGGGAATTCTAACTGACGATGGTTGTTTGCTCTGCTTCTATTATTTCTTCACATTCAATGCTAAAGTCTGCACTTTTCTCAGTGTCCAATAGGGTTTAAAGTGGACCACATTATTGATGAAGAGCTTCAGGCCTCCCAAATACCCATCCATGGTATTCTCTTCTATTTCCTTCAGCTCACACTTCAACTTAAGCTGTATAAATTCAGCCATATGTTTTTCCATTAATAGCTCATTTTGCTGCAGGTAGCGGAACTTTAAAAAAATATCTTGGCGGTAGTGCGAAGGTAGCTATTATTGCTGCAGCTCCCGTTTCATCTTCTCCCAAGAAATGATTATGTCACGTTCTTCTCTGTGTCTCTCCCTCTTTATATTCTCCAGCCATAAAGAAGCATTTTTCTTCAGCTTGATGAAGGCGAGCTTCACTCTCTTATCATCAGACACCTTGTATTAAAAAATCCGCTTTACAGTCTACATCCACTCAAGGAAGTCATATGGATTCATTCTCCCCTCAAATTCTGGTAAGTCAACCTTCATTCTCAGATCTTTGTAACCTCTAATAGGCATGCCATCTCTATACTTTGAACATGCAATCCCTCTCTACCCTCTAAAATCTTTGTATCTTCCAATAGCCACCTCATCTCTGTATCCTCTAACAGGCATCTCATATTTGTATCCTTCAACAAGTACCTTATCTCTATATCTTCCAATAGAAAATTCAGCTCTAGTTCTACAACGTTGTGGTCTATCTTATTCTCCACTCGAATCATCCATTTGGAAGGAATTCAGGTGTTCTACTTGCTCTCATTCAAGACTTTCACTAAATGGCCGACGGTGATCCTGCACTGAGTTCTTTACTTAATGACATCAAGCAGAAGTAGTACTTGGCGGAGTACCCATTTTATGTCATCTATGGTAGGTTCCTGATCAGATTTTGACAATTGTCTTGACGATGGCATGGTTGAGGTTTTGAGTTTAGGTGGGTTAAAGGTGTTTAGGGTTGTGGGAAAAGTTTTTTTTTTTTTTTTTTTTTTTTTTTTTTTGTGGGGTGGGGGTGGGGGTGGAGGGATGCTAGAAATCTTAAAATAGGACCAGTGTTAAGCTAGCTCTAATACCAATTGATACCAGAGTTAGCCCAAATCACCGTAGAAAAAATAAATTTTATGACTAAAAATAAATACATGGTTATAACCAAACACACTTGGAAGGGAAATTATAACAAAGCAAGGCACACATCGCACTAGGGCTCGATTCGAGGGTGATGGGGGTCGGCTAGGAGTAATGGTGGGAGGATGAAATGGGTTGTGCTTGAAAGAAGAGGATTTTTTGGTTTTTTTTTAATTTTGGGGCTTGGCAGTTCAGGACAATATGTTGGAAGGCTTGGCGGCAAAGGATAGAAGGTAAGGGAAGACGGGCAACAAAAAACAATAGGATGCTAGAAACCTTATTATAGGTCTAAGGGTCGATCCGGGGGTGTTGAGATCGGCTTGGTGGTCGAGGAGTGGTAGTAGAAGGCTGGAATGGATTGTGGGTTGCTGAACAGCAAAATGAGGGGTTTGAATTGCACTGGCAGTGAAGTAGAGGGGCTGGAATTGCATGGTCTGGAACGACAACGACAACGAAGGGGAGGGCTGGGGCAATGAGGGACAGTGAAGGGGAAGGATTTTGAACTGTAGAACAAAAAGAGGGGTGCTATCTCGTGGATTTTGTAGTGAGGGGGATGGCTGAAATGAATGAAATAGGTGGTTGGGTGGTGGAACTGCAACAAAAAGACAACAAGGCTGCTATCCTTGGCGGTTGTTGCAAGTACAGAGGGTTGGACAGTAGTCGAAGCAGCAAGGCGAGGGAGTGAACAGGGGCGTCGGTGTAGGTGGAGGGTTGGGACCATATGGCCTGCAAAGAGGATGGAGGGGAAGGCAGTGGGGTGGTTTGAAAGGTTGCGGAGGAGTTGGGTAAGGATAAATTCTCTTTTGGGAATGAGCTATAGCTAAAGCGCCACTCGATCCTTTGGAAAGAGATCACCTCCTTGTACTAGTTACAGTCACATTATCTTCTTATTTTCAGATACAGTACTAGAAGGGAAAACCCTAGACGTCGGTGACTGTCCTGACAGATAACACCATACAAACTCTCTTCTAAATTATAATACAACACATATATAGGAAATAACTAAAATGAAATGAAAGATAACAGGAAAAAAAGCATGAGAAAGGAAAACAAGACTGTTTCGGTTGCCTGTTTGTCGTCTCCCTCGATATTGAATCCCGCGATACTTTAGTAACTACAGTACTGCGAAAATTCTACGAGGGAAATTTCTTGTGTCAGCACACCTACAATATTTATTGTTTTCAATATCATCATTAGACTTATCACAAATCATTGGGGCCATCTTTATAAATGTTCCTTACTTTTTTTTCTTTTTTTATTTTTGCAAGTGGCGTTAAACCTTTTTTAAAATTTTTTTATGCAAATTAAATCTATGTTGAAAACACCGTGGTACCGTTTGGATCAAGCTTTTTGTCTGCTTATCCGAAAACTTGGTTCAATTTTTGCACTAAACGCAGGACGCGGGTCGACCCCCGCAATCGACTCGAGGGTCGCTTACCCTGAAACGCACAAGCTGCCCCAAACACATCCTAACATACACATGACATTCCACTTTGAATATCTTTCATAAGCATAAATAATCAGCATGAAAAAAGATGTGAAGTCGACTTTCATTTTAAATACGACCTATTATAATTGAAGTCTTGGTTCATTCCACAATTAATTATAATACCTATCAATGCTCATGAGATTGTTGTCTTGTGCAGAGCAGAGATTTTTTGCAGCCCAGAGATTACCCCTTCAACATTTCTTCCAGAGACGTAAATCTCCCCTCCATAGAAGAGAACCGCCCTTTCATGGCCGAGAAATGCTCCATTTTAGATCTGATTTGGCTTGCCTCTTCCTTTAATTTCTCATCCAGAGCATCATTTTTTTTTAATTACTCGTAAAATGATTTTTGATCAGGAATGTAGAGCTCTGTATACCGCAATCCCATTCATTGGTTTCCTGGCTAGCTCTGCTCGTGACTGTGTGACTCGGGCATACCGTGGTACTTCCCATAGAAATTGAATTGCAACTGTGCGACTAAGGCACACTAAGCTTCCTTTTTTGGCTTCCTAATACTTGTTGCGATCCCAACCTTGGCTTCTGCGATTACCGCGACCCCGTCGTTGGCTTCCCAGCTATGTAAAACAGTTATCTGTCAGCTCTTAGCTTGCTTGCGGTAGAAACACCGCAATCCCTTTGTCAGCTTCTCAGATCGCGAGGTTCATTTACTACGACACGCTCAATCCCATCAATAGCGAATCTCCACTAAGGAGGCTCGATCCCTTCTTTGATCTGAAACCTACACAATATCCTGTCGTCGGCTTCCCAGCTATCACGACCCCATCGTTTGTTTGCCATAGTTGAATGCTTTGATAACAATTTGATAGGAACCAGAAGTGTTTTCCACAAAAATTAGAACAACTAAATATTTTATTTCAATAACACCGAGCAACACAACTCAACTACCTAAAAGATAAGCATTGAAAGTTTGAGAGGTAGGTGATCTCTGTCTAACCCTTACCATAACACCTACAATTCAAAAGGTAGGCGATCTCTCCCAAACTCTAGTTCTAAAAATATCATAGCTTAACCTAACCCTAAGCATAATAAGCCCTATTTATACCCCCACAATAATAACTAACAAATGACTAAATTGCTTTGTCAGCCTTGCGCCTAAGATAAGTCTTTAAATTCTTTGGCAAGCTTGACATCAGCCAAATAGTTTCATCCTACTTGCCAGATGACCCGAATAGAACCTTTGTATCTTGTTTGCTTTGTTATATTTTTCTTTTTGCTCTTACATTTCTCGGTAAATGCTTTTGATGTACTCTTATAGTTATTTAGTTATTATTTTTTTACTCTTATTTAATTTGATTCTCTTGCCAAACCATAGCTTTCTTTTCACTTTAGTAATTTCTTCTCTCTCTCTCTCTCTCTCTCTCTCTCTTACTCATTATGCATGCTAATGTAAACCTTGATAGATGTGATAATTGATGAGAGATTGCTTAATTAATTTTTTTTTTGTTCTAGTGATTGAATTAAATGAACTTAATGTATTTTATTTGAAAAATGTCTATTCTTTATACAAATAATTTTATATTTTATTACATTTAAATATATGACTGCTAATATCATTTGATCAATTTTTTGTGATTATCTTACAATTAATCAAACTTGGTAAAGAAAAATTTGGTTGATTTATAATGCCCTCCCACTAAATTTCTGTAATCTTATTGAATGTTTTTGAAGTCAATGCCATTGAACACTTCATAGATGATTTATAATATCCTCAGTGCTTGCCCCACATCAGACCTTTGACCTTCTGTAGAAACATGTAGATTTATGTTTTCAATATTAGTAATTAGTGTTGTATCTGCTCTCTCATTTATTGTATGTTTTATCATTCCAGATAACCCAAATTCGATCAAAGAAAGGAACCACAAAGGTCAGCTACAGCATCAACCCATGAGCTCTCTATTTCTCTGCAGCATTGTTAATCTATTGCGGTGATTAATGAGCTCCTATCATGCCTGAATGTATCATCTAATTATATTATGTTTTGTGATGATTTATCATAGTTGCCATAATTGATGAATTAGGCTTTATTTGGTCTTTTAGTGTTCTAAAGTGATGGTTGTTTGTTAAAGCTAATATTATACCTTTTGACATCCTAAAGTTTTTTATAGAACTTAAATACACTTAGGGTCTGTTTGGGGTAGCTGCAACTTATTGAATAATCTGTTGATAAGCTGATTAAAATAATCTGTAAAATAATCTGTTGATAAGCTATGTGCGGTAGCTATTATAAATTTTTATTATTTTGGAAAAGCCAAATCGTAGCGAGAAAGCTGCCACCGCACCTAGACAGGTGCGGTGTGAAAACGCTGATTTCAGTATTTTGAAAACGCATATGCTGCCAAAACGCAATTTACCCAAACAACTCGTGTGCATTTTCAAAACGCCACCGCACCAAATAAGTTGCCCCAAATGGACCCTTAATATTCATTCAAAAGATCATTCATCTCTTCTCCCAACTAAAGATTCTAGTACAGATCAAGAGGTTAAGCTGAGTGAAAAGGAGAAGAATAAGGAAATAAAATAAAAGGCTATTTTTTGCACAATTTATCACCACATGCTCTTCTATCATTTCAAAAATAAAATAACAAAAAAAAATGAGTATTTCATATATCTCCTGGCGAACAAATGCTTAATGCCATCATTGCGGCGACGACGGAGAATGTGAAAGTAAAGGCGCCGACTGAGTTGGTTAGACTAACAAGCGTTAGCAGTTGTAATTATTTGGAGAAGCAACTGTCAATTGAACTATTACAGAAGAAATTATTTTTTAAAAAAGTTATGGATATTATAAATTTATTTTATTTTCAAAAGGATAAATTATAATTTTTTGACAGCTATCACATTTTAATAGCTTATGTTGAAAAAAATTAGCTTTTAATCATAAAAGTATTTAAAAAGTAACAAGAAAGTTGTTCTTTAAAGAGAAATATGATGGCGGTATGAAAAGTAAAGTAGATAGAAAACCTTCCTAAAGAGGCCCTTAAACTATAAGTCAAGGAAGTGGCCACCATTGCATTCACTCGTTCTTAAGGTATTTTGGACATTTGGCTTTTTGAAACAAAGGAACGGTCGTTTGGAACAGCAAATCGAAGGTTGAATTTCACAATTCAAAACCGCGATAAGTCATTCCGATATAAGTGCTTCTTGAAGATGTTGATCAGTCAAGTGAATCGCAGGCATTCTCACGGCGGTCTCCGCAATAGAATTGAGGAGGGGGACGTCCTCTCAAACAAACCCTTAGTTATGGAATTACTCGGTAAGATTTCGATTGTTAATAAATTTGATTGTTTATATATATATATATATATATAGTGTTCGGCTCATTTATATTTCGAGCTCAAAAAATGTGTTCGTGTTGGACTCGTTTGCTTAACGAGCCGAACATGAGTTGTTCACGAACAAAGAGTCATTTTAACAACCCTAATCATGTAGTCATAAAACATAAGATAATAAGGGTTTGAGCAAGATTTAAAAATTATTATTTATATTAAAACATCATTTGAATCTAATTTAATAATTTTATTATATTTTCTTAATCAATATTTTAGTTGATTATAAAACTTTGTAGCATTGTAGTCAAATAGATTTTTTTAAAATACTACTTAATATATATATATATATATATATATATATATTTGATGAGTAGTAT